TTCTTTGTCCATAGGTTTTTTTTATTATATCTTGTATCTCATTGGCTGTTATTGGGCTATGGGGAGTGGTTATATCTTGTCGATTCAGTTGTGGTACTTGTACCTTTCTAGGAATCTGTCCATTTCTTCTGTGACTTCTATTCTGTGAGAGTAGAGATTCTCAAAGTTGCTATGGATAATCTTCAAAATTTCCCTTTGGACTGTGGTAATAACACCCTTTTCATTCCTTATTGCTTGTATTTGAATTTTTTCTTTCCACTTTTTGATGAGGTTAGCTAGGGGCCTATCGATTTTATTTAATTTTTCAAAGAACCAGATTTTTGTTTCATTAAATTTTTGACTGTTTTCTTAGTCTCAGTTGCATTAATTTCTTCTCTAATCTTTATGAGGTCTTCCTGTCTTTGGGCGCTGAGTTTGGTTTGCTCTTCCTTTTCTAGTTGTTGAAGGTGAAGCATTAGGCTATTTATTTTTTCCCCTTCTGTTTTCCTAATGTGTGAGTTCACAGCTATGAATTTCCCTCTGAGAACTGCTTTCATTGTATCCCATAAATTACAATAAGTTGTGCTTGAATTTTCATTGAATTGTAGATATTTTTGAATTTCTTAATTAATTTCATCTGTGACGTATTGGTTGCAGAGTAGCATGTCACTTAATTTCCATGTTTTTAGGGTTTTTTCTGGTTTCTTTTGTCATTTATTTCCAGTTTCATTGCACTGTGGTCAGATAATACTATGGAATAATTACTGTTTTCTTGCATATACTGAAGCATGATCTATGGACCAGTATGTGTCTGAATGTATCCACCGAGTCCGTTTGTTTCAAGCTCTGGTTCAGTTCTGTTATTTCTTTGCTAATTTTTGTCTGGTTGACTTATGCTTTGGAGATGAGGGGGTGTTAAGGTCTCCTGTTAAGATTGCAGTATTGAATATTAGATTTTTCATGTCTATTAAGATTTGCTTCATGTAATTGGGTCCTCCAGTGTTTGGTGCATACATATTTATGAATGCTACCTCTTCCTCTTGAATTTTTCCCCTTACCAGTATATAGTGGCCTCCTTTATTTCACTTGATCATTGTTGGTTTGAAGTTGAGACTGTCTGAGAATAGGATTGCTATTCCTGCTTTTTTCTGAGGTGCTTGGTCATGTAATGTTGTGTTCCATGCTTTGACTTCCAGGCTATGAATGTGTTTATGAGTTAAATGTGTTTCTTGCATACAGCATATTGTTGGATTTTGTTTCCTAATCCACTGTGCCAGTCTATTTTTCTTAATTGGTGATTGAGTCCATTTACATTGATGGTTAGAATTGAGATGCATTGACTTACGATTGACATGTTATTTACCTGTTGTCAGTTACTCCTTTTTCTCCTGTTTAATTGCTTGCCCTATTTAGTTGGTTACCTCTCATCTCATTCGTGGATTTCTGATCATTTTGGTCCCTCTCTAGAACATCTTTCAGGAGCCTGTGTAGGGTTGGCTTTGTAATCATGAAATTCTTTAGCTGTTCTTTGCCATGGAAATATTTCACTTTTTCATCAAACTTGAAAGAGAGTTTTGCAGTGTATAGTAGTCTGGGCTGGAATTTGTTTTCATAGAGGACTTGAAGTTCTCTGCTCCATGCTCTTCTTGCCTTCATGGTTTGTGAAGAGAAGTCGGCTGTAATTTTCATGGGTTTTCCTTTGAATGTGATATCCTTTTTTTCTCTAGTGGCTTTCAGTATATTATTCTTGTACTGAATTTCTGGGATCTTGACTATTATATGTCTTGGTGTGTTTTTAATTGGGTTGAGGTTACTTGGCGTTTTGTATGCTTTGGTTACCTGAATGTCAGATTGTTTCCTCATATTTGGGAAGTTTTCTTCTATTACTTCTGTCTATATTTTTTAATGTCCTTTGTATTGACTCCTTTCTCATTGATGCCTATTAGTCTCACATTGTTCATCTTTGCATCTTTTCGAAAGTCTTAGTGGTCCTCCGTTCCTCTGTTGTACTTTTCTTTAAGGAGCCTGTGTGACAAGTTTCAGAAACGAATGTAGTATATTAATATAAAATAAATATTACATTTATCTATGTGTCTTAAACTTACTGCAGTCTCTTTCTTGGATTAGGTGCCATCTAGGCTCTTGTTTTTTAACCCGTGGATTTCATATCGATTACTTTCCTTGAAAATTCTAAGTGTGTGATTGTTCATGTGATTTTTAAAATTTTTGTTTTACTCTTTTATTTATTTACTTATTTGGTACAAGGCTCACTCTGCAGCTCAGACTCACAATGATCCTCTTATCTCACCCTCCCCAGTGCTGGAATTTCAAGTGTGCACCACTATGTCCAGTTTCAGGGGCCAACATGATATGGGTCATGCAGGGCATGCAGTGCTGGGGATTAAAACTGGGTCTTTGCACTTTCCAGGCAAGCACTTTGTGCACTGAGCTGTCTGCACAATCCTGTGTATGTGATTTCTAAATCGCTTCATCTCTTTAATTTACCCTAAAAATATTAACTTTGTTGCTACTATGTCTTAGTAGGATCAATACGTTTAAGTTGCATAATGCAGCAGATATTTGCAAGCCTGGACATTTATTATAGGCCTTCTTGAACCAAAACTGCAGCGCATTCTGTTATGTTCTAGTACAGACTTTGAAAACTTCAGAGGTTTGGAGCTGTGGATATCCTAGTTATCAGTAAACAGAAAGGCATAATAAACTTAATGGGAAGGAACATAAGTGTCAGACAAGGACTGGGAAGACAAACATATGCAAGCAGTTACCTGTGAACTACAAGTCTGCTCTTTTGTTGAAGGCAGTTAAGAGCACTAAAGTCTAGTAAATAGTATCAAGAAAAAGGAAAAATAATATATTTTATATAATTTTTCATATATACATATATATATATATATATATATATATATATATATATCATATATCTCCTGTGACAGGGAACAGATAAACTCAGAAATGTTTCTTGATCACTAAACTGAGATCTCTCAACAAAGTGCAAAATTTATGACTGGAAAGGATGGAAATGGAAATTAAAAAAAACTTCCACCAAAATCTAAAAAAGTTTCCATAAGTATTTCCAAAGTAACATTTCATCATTTCTAGCTGTTTGATGAAGAAGCTGCTATCAGACAAACACTTAAAGTATGTAAGTTTAATTGAAGTTAATAAAGTCATCTCCTTTAAAATTTAATACCATGGTACCTCAGTTCACAAACTTAGTTTTGTGGTTTGAGGGAAGATGGATGTGCCTGCATTTGTGTGGAAAAAATAGCTGTGGTTGTGTTCTGACCCGATGCAGAATTTGTGAACTGGAGTGAAAGCTTGCTGAATGCTTTTGTTTGAGAGCTGAATTGCTTGTAAAGAGAAGTATTTCTAAACAGAGGTATTACTGTAAGTATTCAGCTTTTTCATTAAGAAAAGAAACTGTCTTCTAAGATGAAGTATTTCTCACTCCAAATTATTTTCTATAATTATCTTGTACTTTTTCATTTATTTTTTTATTTAAAGTTTTATGTATTTGTTATAGGGTCTCACTACACAGCTCAGACTTGTAGTGATCCTCCTGTTTTCAGTCTTCCCACCACCACAATTATAAGCATGAGCCACTAAATGAGATTTCAGTAGCTGGCTTAGCATGACCTTCTGAGCTCATGCAGCGTGTGGTGCTGGGGATATAACCCTGGTCCCTGCGCTTGCCTAAGCAAGCACTTAGCTGTTGTTTGTCATTTTAACTTTTAAATATCTTCTTAATGCTAAAATATAAATCTTATGAGATACTACAAAAGTAAATATTCCAAGTCACCATTTTTTAAAATCTGATTTGTGCGACGCTGAACATAGAATTTAGTCATGTATAATACAGAAGCTACACTACTGTGCTACACTTCGAATATCTCAAGCTTCCTTTCAACAGGATGCTGGGAATAGTGTACTGCAACAACAATCCATTTCATATACATTTTGTGCTTACTAGACCTTGAAAAATTTATATTCATGTAATAAAAATTGTTGAAAAGGTTTTGATTTTACACAAATAACTGTAGATATATACTAAAGATAATTTTTTTTTTACATTTTTGAGTTCAAGATGCATGAACTCCTTTTCTGTATCATCTGAATTTACATCAAGAAGCCTTGATGCATATTGTTCTCAATTTGGAGGGAATCCTGTTACTTGTAGCCAGAGATGGCTCTTTGTTATTATTGCATAACTTTAAAAAACATAGAATTCATGTAATCTAATAAGCATAATGAGTAGCCAATATCGCTGTTCTCCATTTTCTCCAGTGTAAACACATACTCAAAGATTTTATATCAGTCTTTAACATAGAAAGAAAAATTCCTAATGTTCTAGGGCTGGTTTACTTCTTCAGTCTTTGACTGATGTAGAAAAGCTCACCAGCTATATCCTATCTCTAGGTAAAATGCACAAAATTGAAGTTCAGAATTTTGTACATGAAAGTGCAACTCTATTATAGGGAAGCTTTTCATCTTTGTATATGGCTTGCCATGCTGGATTTTATTTAACAGCTGAATTTCATAGACAAGAGCTAGACATTTCTTCAAAGAACTTGAGCTAATACTGTAATCCATTTTCTTCTGAAATTACAGTTGTTAAATTAGACACAAAATGTTATGAATGTCACTTTGCCTTTCCATCAATTAAGGAGTTCAAAAAATTCCTTCATGTTGCATGTCTTTGAAATTATTATATTTATCCTGAACTGGCCCTTCAATTTGTTCTGTTAAATACTTTGCAGGTTAGAGCAACACATCAATCCCAAGCAGGTGTGGATAGGGTTTCTTGATGTATAAAAGTGTTCTATTTTAAAGCCCTCTTAGCAATTTTAGTCCATCTACTGCTGTGAAAATCCATGTAAGTATTAAGTAAATTCATTTCTTTCTAAGGGGAAAAAATATGAGGCACAATTATGGAGCTAATATCAACATGACAAGTGACAGCTGGTGACTTTACTGACATTGTCCCTTGCTCACTGTTTCAGTGCTGATCCTCCTTATCATCACCATGAGAAGACGGAAAAAAGAGCCCCTCATCTTTGATGAAGAAAGAGATATCAGAGAAAATATTGTTAGATATGATGACGAAGGCGGAGGAGAGGAAGACACTGAAGCATTTGACATGGCCGCACTGAGAAACCTCAATGTCATAAGAGATACGAAGACCCGGAGGGATGTGACTCCAGAGATTCAGTTCTTGAGTCGACCAACTTTTAAAAGCATCCCAGATAATGTCATTTTTCGGGAATTTATATGGGAAAGACTGAAAGAAGCTGATGTTGATCCAGGTGCACCCCCATATGACTCTTTGCAGACCTACGCCTTTGAAGGGAATGGCTCGGTTGCAGAGTCACTCAGCTCTTTGGATTCCATCAGCTCAAACTCTGATCAGAATTATGACTACCTAAGTGACTGGGGCCCCCGCTTTAAACGACTCGCCGATATGTATGGAACTGGCCAGGAGAGTTTGTACTCATAGCCCAAGAACCTTAACTTGAAATGTACTGAAGAAAAAGTAACATCAAAGAACACTACACACAGAAAGAAAGAAAGAACTCCATGAGTTGGAGGAAAGTGATTGTAAATATGTCTCCATTTTTAACTGTTTAGGTTTCTGCCTTGGTGAAGCATATCTTCATTAGACTTATCCAAGGGACTGCACTGACCACAGACTCTGAGCATTTGAAGGTTTTTTAATAAAAATAAATGCTCAATAGTTTGTGAATAGATAGCAACTCTAATATACCTGCAAAAGCACCTAATCTCCATGAGTAAAGAGTGCACGGTGTTCCTAGTGCACTACTGAGGTCCTGGACATACCTGCATGGTACTGTCAATAAGAGGAGTGGAACACTCTCGGTAAGAGGAATATACCATGAAAAATTCCTGAAACTTCTTGCATTTCAAATTTACTTGGCACAAATTTACTTTATGGCAAAGCTTCTAGCTTGCTAATATGATAGAATTCAGCAGAATTTTATTACTGGTGGTTAGAAAAAGTATTTTATTTAGCAATATATAAATTCTCAGAATACCTTCCCTATATGAAAACCCTTCAATAAAAGCCAGTAAAATTTGGTATGAAGCAAAAAAGCCATTCTTTCAACCACTAAACAATGAAATGTTCCAAAAGAAAGGAAAAGGTAAACAATTCTTCAAGTTTGCATAGCTTTGAGATGCTTGTGGAGGTATAATTTTATATAAAAAAGTTGCTGTCTATTCATTTAAGATTCTATTATCTCTTCTGATTTGTACAGGAGAATACCTTCTCTTTTTTATTTGACACATGGTATTATATTTATTTCAGAGCTCCATTTTCCACTAAATTCAGGTCCATCTTCCTGCCTCATGAGATGCATTGCCTCTGACCCTGCTCTGTTCTCTCCAACCTGAGCTACAGGAAGGTGATGAAGCAAGGAAATGGAGAAAGAATAGGACAGCAATTGAGCCTTGTCACAGTCCACATCTCAAAGGGGAGCTCAGCTACAGGGACATAGAAATGGTTGTTCCTAGCCATTAGAATGTACCAACTATCTGAGTGCAATACTTTTGTTTTTAGAAAGCCATCAGAGAGAATTGGAATTTTCTTTGACACCAGATTTATTTTGCAGAGTTGTGAGTTCTTTACGTTTCAAAGATGTTGAAGAATTGCTTTCTCAAATTCTTGCTGGAAGCATATTAACAAAAGGCTGAATTTTTTAAAAAACAATATAGCATAAGTTTCAAGCCCATTTTTAAATTCTAACACAAATGTTTCCCTGAAGAACTAAGCAAGTGTTGTGTAATTCCTCTTGTGGTTTGGTTGTGACAAAGAGAAATTGCAAGTAATCTCTTGTGCTTAAGTTTGAGACAAATACCTTAGTGTAAAACTTTTTTAAAAAAGTCAAAAATTATTTATTTTTCTTGGATTAATGTTTGTTTGATGTGCTTATAGTCAAGTAAGAATGGATTTATTTTCCCCTATATTCTGCTTTTAGAAATAAACAGTCCTTTGCTGGGCTCCTAACAATCTATGGATAGTGAACACTGTAGGAAATTGTATTCCATAAGTTCTTCTTTCTACTAGGAAGACTCTGGAACCAGAATTTAATATGCTGATTACATAAAGAGAAGCTATGTAGGATTATGTGAACTTGAAGTCCATCTGTAGAAGTGCAGTGTGTGAAAGTGGCCTTCAGTTTCATAAGAATTAATAATTCAATAATTTTGAATATCTGCAAACACAGCATTAATTTGAATAAAGATTTTTAGATGTTTCATGACCAGCTAGATATGCTTCTTGCTATATGAATATGCATTGATATAAAGAATTTAATATGACAGTGTAAAAAATAGTTTATATCATTTAGTGACACGTGCAAGTTTTTCATATAAAAATAGTAATCTTACATGTTCAAAGAAACAAGGCTGTGATTCAAGAATTACACAGATTTTATATCTGCCAGGTGCTGAAGAAACACTTTTGTCACAATTTCCTTATTGTCTGAAAGAAGATAAAGTAACTTTGGATTATGGTTTCAAGAATGCTGAATGTTTTACACATCACTAAATAAAGATTTGGAAATACTGTAGAAAAGACACGTCACATCATACTCCATCTTCTCTGTTCTGCTTGAATCTGTTTATTCTCTTTTTAAAATTTGCTTTCATATTTTCCAGTAATAGACTGAGAAAAGAAAGATTCTAGTTTTAAATTTTAGTATATATTCAATTGCTACTTATATGTAAAATATTACACTATGTTATTGAATTTGGTTCAATAGCTTTTTAAAACTTATATGAATTAGCTAAAAGTCCCAACTACAATAGCATTTACACAAAGTCCTTTAGAAATAATTGTAATAATGATGACCTTTTTATAATTTTATTTTAGCTGTACTTTTTCTTCTAAAACTTATTGTGAAATATTTGATGTAATGTGTCAGAATTAGGCTTTCATTGTTTAAAAAAACAGAGACAGGATTGGTTGATTGATAAAATCAATCTTACAAGTAATTGTGTCTCCAAATAATCATTACATAAATAATATTTAGATATTCAGAATCCACATTTTTGAAGAATTGGCCAGAACCAGCTCTCAAGCTTCATTTATGCACATCTCTTTCCATGACCACTTAAGTTAATTTCTTTTGAGTAGATTGACATGAGTCATGTTGCGAATGTTCAGACTTTCATGATAATCAGCACACTACTCATTTTTTTCTGTATAACCACTTCTTCATGCTTATAAAAACTCCAGTTCTTAGGTTATTTTCTAAAGTGACCCCATGATCATAGGTACAGTATAAATGAACAGAATACAAAACAATGACCAGAGAGGAATTTGTGCTATATCTTATTATAAATATGGATACAGAAGGAAATGGTTTCCTCATTGAAAATGTTTGAAACTACTTGTAAGAAAAACAAAGCACTGACTATATTTGGGAGAGATATAGCTTAATAATTTCATATTGAAACAATAGTTCAGGCTATCAATAAACTTAAATATTTACCATTTAATCTACATAGAGATGCTAAGGTACACTCATGCTGCACAAAATAAGGTGCATGTAGAACAATTTATTTTTTCTCTTTTTTTATGTATTTAATACAGAGTCTACAGGGTCTCACTACACAGCTCGGACTCATAGTGATCCTCCAGCTTTCATCCTCCCAAGTTCTGGGATTATAGGCGTGCATCACAATGCCCAGTCTCAATCACCCTCTCAGCACACCAGAGTTGTGGGGGCAGCTGGCATGGCACACTCGGGATCGAACTCCAGTCCCTGTGCCTGGCTAAGCAGGCACTTTAGTCCACTGAGCTATCTGGCCCGCACCTATTTTTTAAAATCGTATTTGCAATTTGTTTCTCATTTGATCAATTGTTATTTTTCCTAATTGTAAACCAGCATAAAATATGAAAACCAGATGTTACTAACGAAGTGCACTGTCACACATCGAGTCACAATTGTCACTTTAATTCATACAGATCAGTCTCTCTTCTCTTACAAAGCAATATTTCAAGACTCAAACCAGGAAAGAAACCAAAGGAAACACTACCCAGTTGGAGGCGATGTATAGATTTTCTGCAAGCAGAGGTGCACCAGGTAAAGTACTTTTCTTTGCCAGGAAGCTCCACTAAGGCTGTCTGCAGTCAGTCTTTGATGACACCACATAAACAGAATGTAAGAGTGTTAAGAGGTGAGAGCTGCCTCTTACTCTGCCCTCTGAGAAGGTTTTAGATTATTTTAACTTCATGCACAATTACATTTACTACATTGGGTGATGAGCAGACATAGGCAATTATTCTCAAGCAAATGGGATAGTCGCACAAGACACGGGTAATATTTGTGAGATGACCCACACACTTAAAATGCAAATCCTAATAGAGTGTCAGCATTAACATTCAAATAAATATAAAATCTAAAAGAACTCAAACTATTAGATATATTGCAGGAGGCAAAACAATTTAGTTTCAATAATTTAAAGTGCTTAAGCACCAACTATAAATATTAATCTTTACATTTTCAATTTTAATTTGACATCTATTGACTTAGAAACTGTTGTAATTACGATAATTGTTTTTTTAAATAACCATTTAAGGGTTTATTTACAGTTAATCTAATTATAGTTGATTAAGGATTCAATTTATTTCTTCAACCATTTTTTCAAAGAGATGGCTGGAGGCAGGTGGAATACTTGTGGTGATAAACACACCAATTTATTTTCTGCTAGTCTGTGTTCTTTTTTTAATCTTACCTATGCAGTTATTTTCGATCACCAATGATATATATTGTGTGACATATGAGACTGTGTGAAAGTTTGGCAAGGAAAGCTAGTATAATCGTGTTAGCTGTATAGATAGAATAAATAGTAAAAAGAACTAATAGCATTTGCATCTTGAATATAATTCAATAGTGGAATCACCTTTGGACCAAATGGAATGTTTATAGGGTTGTAATTAGGCAAATGCTACAGTGTGTAATTCCATACATACTTTTCAAGTAAAAGAAGATCAAAAGTATAGGTGATCTTCTGATACTCTTTCATTGCAATGATAAATGTTACTGTCTTCTGTTTACTAGAAAAGGAAATATGTTCCGTGTGTGTGTGTGTGTGTGTGTGTGTGTGTGTGTGTGTGAGAGAGAGAGAGAGAGAGAGAGAGAGAGAGAGAGAGAGAATTTGGGAGACAGTGCAAAATATGTCAAGCAACCTTAATCAAATAAATCTAACTTCACCTAACACCAGTATTTATCATTTTCCTAGAAAATCTGTTTTATTTTTTTAGCAATCTAATCTATATAGGAGAAGGATTTGGTGGCTAACTGAAGGTGATTTCCTGATTTATGTAATTGCCATTTGTGTGTGTGTGTGTGTGTGTGTGTGTGTGTGCTCATTAACACTGACAATCACTTGTGAACTGCCATGGGATGTGTACTAAAAGTTACCCTGGTCTGTGGTTACAAAATCTAGGTCAGAAGCTCAGTGCAAGCTTGTTTGTGCTGATTCTTATGTCATTCTAATTTGCTAAACTTTTATATATTCGTGATGAAAATTGAGTTAATGATGATTTTGTCTATTTCTGAGGCTTGTGAGACGGTTAAGTGAAAGTACTGTACTCTGTAATCTGTAAAACACTGTGAAAATGTAAGGATTTGTTATGAAACATTTTGAAAATTATGTTAAAAGAATGATTATATTTATTATTATATGGTGAGCACTGGTAATTTATTTGGAAGAAATATTCACCTAGGAAGGATACATACAATTTAGAATCTTAGGAAAAATTATTAAAAGGTGACAATTGGCATAATTATTTGAAAGCGGGCTTTTAAAACTTTAAATCTTTAATGTTTAGGGACTCACACAAGCTTATTCAATTATTTAAAAGAATTAAAGCAATCAACAATGATGAGGGATTAGAAATAAAGAAAATTCTTTCCTCATTCCTCATTCATCACTCATGGAGATGATTTAGTGGAAGAAAAAGAATTACAGATGATCTCAGACTTATTGCAGAAATTCAAATACACCCAGATAACATTATTAGCAGCCAATAATGAGTTGAATAGGTGGCTTACAGACCTTGAGAATAAAGGAAAATACATGAAGACGTAGACAATTCACTAATTTTATCAATGATGCTGGCCTATATAATGACTAATTAATATACTTCAGAGAATTAAAGTACAGTAATTATGACTCAGCATTAAAAACATCCTGAGTGCAAAATGCCAATGTTTTGATTCCAATATCTTACAATGAGTTATCTTAGTCTTTTATGAATGAAACAACTATTAAAAACTGAAAATGAAAATATATTGAACAGTACTCTTTGTTAGTGATTCTCTAGTCATTAAGTGATTATTAATAAAACCTCTTTTCCACCATGAGTTATCTGGCTGTTAGATGCTCAATCAAAAAATTATTCACAAATACGTTGATATCTATATGGAGAGAAAGTAGAGAAGTGTAGGATATGCTCATTCAAGCCCATCAATTGTTACACTATTATTTAATTAGTTAATGTAATTATGCTTAAAGTTATATTTTTATAAGCAGAAAAAATTATGATACACTATTCTGCTTCATGCTACATTTTTGTGGGTATAAACACTAGGTTTTTATATATCAAAACCAGGATTTTTTACACATTGTACACGATCAGTATAAAAGTAATCACCTTTTAAAAACAATACATATGATAAGTACATGGCAATTGGATATGTATATAATACACATACATAGAGCTAACCACCAGTTCTGTGTATACACATTCATATGTGCATAAAAAGGAAAATGCATATATGCTCAATTCTAGGCTAAATGTTGCTTTGAAGTAAATGACTTCATGTTTTGTTTGTAGCATTAAAGATCATCATCGCTATCAGATACAACCTCTACAGTTTAATTAAGCAAAAATGACACGAAACGGATGTTTACAGAGCAGCTTTTTGTTACAGATCTCAGAATTTCTCGAAATGTAGAAAATTTAAAACTTCATGTACTTAAAATATGCAACATAAATTTCATTGCAACTTCTTATGTGAAGCTGTACCATACTACATTAGAAAAAACTTGAAGAGTTTTTGCTTAATTGAGTCACTTGAATAAAGATAAAAGGATTTCTAAAAATACTAATTTGATTGGCCACTATATTGATTCTGAATATCCAGTTTCAATTAAAAAGAGAAATAAAATATTTCAAGGAAATATTTCAAGGAAATTCTTTTCAAATCATGCGTTATCAATAATCAAGTATTTGAAAATTTTTACGTGGATACAGGAAATCAAATTTCAGAATTATGGAACTATAGGAATGCACATAAAATATATAATTAACAAAAATCAAATGTAGGAAAACAACAGTTATGATTTGAGAGTGTTTATTGCCATGTTCTATTGTTATATGTTGTTTTGTATTTTATAAAAATAAGAAAGATTAACACATGTTAAGGAATTATAGAAAAAATAATTTTCTCAAATTCTGATGAACAAAAATATCTCACATATATAATGACAACTTCTAATGTCACCATCGTCATATGTAATAGTGATATCTAATCGATTTCCAATTTATACCTCTTGACAACTTGCCACATGAAA